ATTTTTATACTGTGTGGGCGTCGGAACGAGCCCCCCCCCCCCCCCCCCCCCCCCCCCCCCCCCACCGTGAGAACAAACATCTCAGCTCTAAAGCTGATCTTCATCCGCATACGTCACACGTCACGTGATCAGGGAGCAGAAAATCCATGTGTTAGGAGATCGTTTTGGGCTGCTGCTGTAAAAAAAAGTGAGGCGCGAACCGGAAAAGCTTCTGCCGATCACAATTCAGCAACGGATTATGAAAGAACGGAGAAAGCTTGAAACGCGGATTCTTCCTGATGTAAGAGGTGAGTCTCCGCTTTGTTTTGGTTATTTTGGCGTCAACATCATCCTAGCTCGCAACGTTCTGTGACTCTTAAAAAAACAGTAAAAACGGTGAGAAACGCTGGCAGCGAAAGTTAAAGTCCCATTGGTTGTCACACACACAGGTGTGTGTGCAAAACTTGTTCTCCGCATTTGACCCATCCCCTGGGGGAGCGGTGAGCTGCAGACACAGCCGTGCTCGGGAACTGTTTGGTGGTTTATCCCCCTCAATCCAACCCCCTTAATGCCGAGTGTCAAGCAGGGAGGCATTGGGTCCCATTTTTTCTAAGTCTTTGGTATGACCCGACCAGGAATCGAACCCCTAATCTCCCAGTCTCAGGGCGGACACTCTACCACTAGGCCACTGAAAGGTATGAGGAATAAGGAATGAGTTGGCATGTCCCAACCTACTGCCAACACTAGCCTGAGCTACTGTTAATGCCACCCTGAGTTACTGCTACCGCTAGCTTAAGCTACTGCCACGGCTACAATGAGCTACCATCACTGCTAACCTGAGGTTCTGTTAATGCCACCCTGACCTACTGCCACCGCTAGCTTGAGTTACTGTTAATGCCACCTTGAGCTACCGCCATTGCTAGCCTGAGCTACTGCTAATACCCCTGTTGGAAAAGATGAAAATAACAAAAGATGTGTCCAAATTCAGAGGCTGCATCCTTCAAGGACGGGGTCTACCCTGCTGACATAGGGCAGGTTCTTCATGAACTGAGTAGACCAGAAGCAAGTGGCTATCCCCAGCGTTTTGATTACTTTTAAATCCCGGAGGAGTTACAGCAGCTGTACTGAAAATGAGACCTCTGTCTACTTTTTTATTGCTTAAAATTACTTTAAAATGTTTATATAAATGACTAAAGCCCTAAATCGTACCCTTTTAAGTTTATACTTACATAACTGTAATTTAAGTCCGCTGTTGTAAAAATCTCCCATTTGGCCTACAATGCATCTTGGGATATGGTGAGCTGCGAAGAATACACCCAACCTTTCTAGGATCCCTTTAAACATTACACAACCAAGAACTGTGAGCCCATCAATCTCTGTTGCCAGCACAGGAGAGAAATGTACAGATGTATATTTGTTTTGAAGAACGTGACATTCCTTCAGACAGAGTCTGAACACTCTTCTGTTCCAGTGAAAAGTCAAGGTTCACCCTTCTGTCATAGCAGAACATCAGATATTTACTCATATATTTCCTCAGCGGCTGTGATGAATGAGCTCACCAAGGGTCTGAAGCAGCCTGATAGGCATGAGGCCTCACGTCAGATGTGAACCCCAGGGCTCCTGCTTGACCTTTGGCGTTTCACAAGACGTGTAAACTGCAGTGCTCCAGGAAGCGATGGGGATTGTATCATGGGAAATGTCTCCTCCGTCCTGAATTGACGGAGACATTCTTTAGCCATTTTTCTTGGTACGTCCTGTTCCTTCTCTTCTCTCTACAGGCCTCTAGGTACTCGTATGGGTCTTGGGACTTGACACGACCTGCTTCTGGTCATGATATTACAGTCACTCACAGCTCAAACAGGAGGTCTGCGGACAGTTTTGTTGTTCATTCATCCTGCTTGCAGCAGCATGCTCATGGAGAGTTTTGTTTAGCCTGCAAACACAAATGTATCTGAACTAGGTATCGAAAAAACTTGCTCCATTCCAAGATCTGTTTTTGGAGATAAGATACACAAGAACATGGTGATGATCAAAGTGCACATGGGATCTGTGAGGTTTCACGAGGTCATATGGCTCTGGAACACACACCTGAAATATTCAATTAAAAGACTGAAAGCCATATTAGTTCTTAAGATTTTGAATAAGACATGCACTGTGGCAAATTTCCCACTGTTCAGGTATTGTTCGCTGCTCCAGGTGTAGCAGCAGATGAATACCAAGACCTGCCGGCATCGGTACCACACCTGTATTGTGGTTAAATGAAGAAGCGGGATGGTATGTGAGGGGAGTGACTGGGCCATCCTGGAATTTACTTGAAACATGGAGCAAAAATATGCTCTCAATGTGGGCTTTAATACCACCTTCTTTCTGTTTTACTTTCCCCTGATCTTTATTGTTTTTGTTTAAATAGTGTCGTGTTATCACAGTTATCTCTGCCGATTTTTTATTACATTTCTTTTGAGTGACTTATTTCTGAATCACACACACACACACACACACACACACACACACACACACACACAACTCAATAGCACTCCACCTGGTAACCTGTGTTTACATCTCGGCATGTAAATACTGTAACTAAGCGTGTGGACAAATCATCCTGCTTTCTGTTTTCAGCCATGTTATTTTGTGGAAAAGCCTCCCACAAACAAAAGATAAACTGATTACATATCTCTTCTTTAAAGCTCTAAACATTCTCGTGTATTTTGCTCTCACACGAGTCACTACGTTATTTTACACTCTGCATATTGACCAGATCTGTGGCATCCACACTAAAGGCCTTCGTCTGTATTGTACTAATTGGTTTTGTTTTCTAGTAAAAACATACCCCACCTGTTTCGTTAAGGTGAACTAGCGTGATTTCATAAGAAAGCTACAGTGAAACTCTGGTAGTAAACGACTGCGGCTGGAGATAATCATAAGACTGTGTCTTTTAAAGACCAATAACTGAGTTGCATAATCACTGCAACAACTTTCAGTGCGTGGAGAAGCAGGATTATACAGCTGTGGCATGTAAACCTGCTAGATGTCTGTCACCGTGGGCATTATTTTTCTGTTTAGCAGCCTAATTGATGTGTTTGAAGGATTGTATTTCCACAGAACCCATTGTGACACTCGCCACACAAACCCAGGACGTCCCAGACTCCCACAGTTTGAGCTAATCCTCGTCATTATCTCAACAAATACTTCTCTCGCTCTAATGAATAGAAAAAATGTCGTCTGGCTTCATTTCTGTTTCTGGTTTGGTATTGTTTTGAGAGAAAAACTGTCTTCTTATTGGTTTAATTTGCTGCCTGTAAAAATAGCAATAGCGAAACAGAAATAGACGCAAGTGTTAACAGAAACTGAGATAAATCTCAGTTCATTTGCATATGTTACTAGCCAGTAAACTGCTAGTAACATATGCAAAGTGCTGTATCTTTTCCGTAGCACTTTCCACTGTTGTTTCTCTCAGTATCAACAAGCAGCTGGTTCAGTGGAAGTTTACTACTGTTTATGTTTTGGAGGTTTTAAAGAAAAACAATTATTGTGGTTGGAAAATTAAAGAACACACTTTTTTGTTAGAGTGTCATTTCATTTTCAGTTAAATGCCTTCATGATAGTTTCATGTATAAAAAGTAAACTAATGGCAGCCTGACATAATAAAGCCCAAAACCCAATTTATTTATTTTTAATTATATTTTCAGAGGATAAAATGCTCTTGAGAAGAAACATTTTGTTTTCGGGAGGGGCCTCCATCCATACAACATAAAAATGAAAAGATAGCAAGAAAACAAGTGGCTGAGAAAAAAATACTGAAATTTTTAAAATAAGAAAGAGAACTAAGGTAAAAAAAACATGAACGTGAAAATGAAAATACATGAAAATAATATATATATTATTAGCTGAAAAATATACAAAACAAACAAAACTGTCAAAACAAAAGTAACTTAGGCAACCTCACATACCTTCAGGATAGCAAAGATAACAGAAGCAGTGACAGAAGGGTAAGACATAAACACTGTTCCTAAATAACTCAAAATAAGTAATTGCCCGTATGTCAACAGGTAGATTGTTCTCCTGTGGGGCGTTAACACTAAAGCACAGCTTCCCATTTCTTTCTTGAACATGAGTACAACAAAAGTAATAGGTTCATTTAATCTGGTATTGCACTGACAACTAGAATGCACCAAATACCTTTTTAGATACAGTGGAAAAAATCAAAGACTATACATTTAAAATAAACATTAACCAATGAAACCTACATCAGGCTTTTAATGGAAGCCAGGACAAGCTTTTATACATGCTACAGTGGTGTGTTGTGACAGCACAAAACAAAACAACAAATGCTGTTATAAACAACATCAAGAGGACGGAGACAGGACGCAGTGGTATTTTGATAAATTGCATCTGCATAATCTGTGATAGGAAAGAAAATATGATTTCTCACTTTAAAATCAAAGCAATTAATCGACTGATAAAGAATTTTTAGTTGATGATTCACCTTATTAGTAATCGGTTGTAGAATGAAGATAGGTAAAGGATAAGTACTGGGTACATACAGGAATACATACGGGGTATGTGGAACAGTGCAAATTTTGACAAGAAATTTAAATTTAGTTTTAGTCTTTTGATTAAAATTCTTTTTAATTTTAGTCACATTTTAGTCATCCAATTTGTTTTAGTCTTTTTTAGTCGACTAAAATATCTGTATTTTTATTCTGATGCATTAATCTTTGACTTGTGTAAATGAAATGTTAACTACACCTACATGAAACTGAACTAAAAATGTCAATTTTACATTTCACACTTTGGATCAATAAAACTATATGTTTGTGATGGTTTCTATAACAATAACTAATGGAAAATGCCAAAATGAACACTGAGTTTGAAATTGTGCCTCTAAAGGTTAATAAAATAAACAAATCTGTATAATGTGCAGGAATGGAGCTCCGGACCCCACGTGACTCTCAGTTAGTAGACGCCATATTGGCAGGTAAAAGAAGCTAAACAAACACGGATCGTAACCATGAACGTGA